ACCCGTTATTCCAATCCAATCACGGGGCCCACGCCAGCCCGCCAACACTGACCGGGGAACGATGGTCTGGGGAGGAAACAGCCCACTTGGCTCCAGAGAGACCACCTGCCACTGCACACCCCGCCCCTGGCCCCCCCCTGAAACCGGTAGGTCTGTGTGGTGCTTTCAATCGGGTCACTTCGCCCCGAGGTCCGCCATCAATTCCTTGTCGCTAAAACCGCCCGCCCTGGAGGTGAGCAGCCTGCACTGCGAGAAAGAGGCCGTTCACAAGACGGGCCTGGGTCCTGCCCGGAAAAGGACAGGCCTCGCGGTCCCCAGCCAGGTCCTGGACGGTGAAGGAAAAGAAGTAAAAGGTTATTAATGCAAAGTGTAATGCCAGATTTCAACGCATGCCCAGGTGGAGGTGTGGGGCTCACCTCTGTAACACGGAACATGGAAACCTGCCAGGTGCCGACGGGGCGCTGCCAAGAACACAGCCTTTATAGTAACTGGGACGTGTGGTCAGAAGTCTTTCAACATGGCCTTGCAAATCAACCCACAGGAGAGAGGCATATGCAGAAGGGTCGGCAAGTGGGTACAGGTGCAAGTGGACGGGTGGGTAAGGCGCACTGATTTTGCGCCATCAACAAGGAAGACACAAAACATTCTTTCTCCCAAACTCCGCAGCGTGCGCCAGACAGTGAAATCCCATTCGCCCGCACTGGCCTCTGTAATCCCCACTAGAAGCCTAGGAAATAGATACTTAAAAAAATTTTTTTTTATTTTTTGATTTTAGAGAGAGAAAAGGCAGGGGAGAAAGAGAAACAACCATTTGTTGTTCCACTTACCGATAAATTGATCGGTTAATTCTTGCGTGTGTCCAGACCAGGGACTGAACCCACAACCTTGGCATATCAGGGCCACAGTCTAAGCCCCCGAACTACCTGGCCTGGGCTGACGTGGGGACCGCTGTCTTCCCCCTGCGCCAAGGAGAAGACCAAGGCCTGGCTACCAAGCTCGCCCAAGGTCACCGCTGATGAACAGCAGAGCTGGGGACCGGCCTCAGGTCCAACCCCCAAACTCACATTCCGGCCGACCAGACCAAGCAGTTACACAAGTCGCCTAAAAAAACTCCCCTCAAGGTCCCTACAGTCACAGCCCAGATAGAAAGTTGGGTCACCCCGTTGGAACCAAAAGGATGTGACTGCGGCCGCCCATAAAACTACAGTAACTACCAACACGGCAGTGCCAACTCTAAGACTCCTCGTGTGTTCCTCTTCCCGCTAGAATTGCACAATTCTCTGGACCTGCCTCTGACACACCCAGCTGACAGCAGGGCCAGGACCAGGATGGTGTCCCCTGCAGGGTAAACAATGGTGCTTGGAACCCTCTCAAAAATGTCGCTCACAGGAAGCACAGCTTAGCACGGCCCCTGCAGGCACCGGGGAGAAAGCCAGAGGAACAAAGGAGCGGCCACGGCCCCTGGAAAACCCCCCCGAGCGAGCAGGGAGTCTGCAGTGTCCCTTTTCCTGGGGGACAGAGCAGTCACCCCCCCGAAACATCTGCAGTCCGAAAGGCTCCCGCATGCAGAAGCCATACCCCTGCCACACGCGGCTACCCCGGTGGCACCCAGGAGGACAAGGCTGTACACGCGTGCTGTAGTCTGTCTCGCAAACCCCTTACTGCTGCTCTGGCTCGTGGGAACGAGGAGGGAGGCCAGTCTAGGAGCCGTTGAGGGGGACCACATGAGTAGTATGGAAGGAAGATTCTTTTCCTTAATTACCCTAAAGAACTTGACGTCCAACAATTCATCAATAATCCATCAGAAGCAGGGCGGTAGCCACCCGATTTCCCTACCCTCAGGTGGCAATTACGCTGCCACGCACCAGGGAGGGCAGGTCTCCCTCAGCAGCACCCCTTCTTCCAGCTGTCTGCTTCCGACAACAGCCGGGGCATAAACTGAACCAACACAGAAGGAAAGCAAAGGTGGACGGACACTGCGTGCACTGGAGGCTCCCAATCACCGAAAGGGTCGAGCTGGCCCCAGTCCGGGGCCTGCTAGGAATCCAACCTCCACCTAATATTTGCTTGAGGTAGAAGGTGAGGCTCACCCAAGACAATGAAATAGTACAAATCAATAAGCAGAGCACTGTGTTAAGTAATTGTTCTTAAGCACTCCTTGTACAACCTGACCCATTTCTAGAATCGTCCAAGAAGCTGTTAACCATGGTATGTTCTGGAGAGGAAAACTGGGGAAGCGAGGAGACCAAATGTGCTCCGTGTCCCCACGTGGTCCCCCCCTTCCCCCTTACACTACACCCTGAGCTCGTCGGGTCTTTAAAACCGAAAAGTTCTTGCAGGAAAAGCTCAAGTTTGGCTGAAGCCACTCAAAGAAAGTAGAGGCCTCGGTAAAGTATGAGATTATTTCTGAAACACACTTTAAACATACTAGCTTAGAGAACAACTTAATTCTTAAAAGCACCACCACGTCCGGAACGCAAGTCCAGGCTCCCACCGGCAATAGAACTCTGATCTGCCAATAATAACCATGCACAGTGACTAAACATTTTTTCCAGCATAGGAAAAAAAATGCTCCTGATCAAAGTGCAGAACCAGCTCCCGGCCGGAGGGAGAGCGCGTTTCCGCCTGCCACCTTCCCACCGCCTTTGGAGTTCAGGCAGCCTAATTACTCGCTTGGATCCCGTTCTCTAAGGCTGGGCCAGCAACTGCGCCCAAAGCGCCCCACCCCCCTCCACCACCCCGCCGCGGGAGTCACGTGACGGCTGAGAAAAGTAGGGGAAAGGTTAGCGCGAGCCCCGCCCCCCAGCTGGCGCGACCCGGGCGCTCAGATCCTGTTCCACCCGCGGCGCTTGGAGAAACCTTCCGGAGCTTACTGGTGCGAGTCCTCAGCGCTGCCACCCAGGCGACAGCGAGCGAGACGCGGAGCCTTTTCGTGGGAAGGCCAAGTCCCGCGGGGTCGACCTTGGGGACAGTGAAGAGCTTAGCGTGCTTGGTGACATTCCACACCAAAAAACGCCGCACCGCTCCGCCTGCGAGCCCGGAGTGCGTCCGGTAGGGGCTCGCTGCGATGCACAAGGAAACATTAATTAACGGTGTTTCTATGAATGGGCACGCAGAGCCAGGGTTGCGTAAGCTCAGGCTCTCGCCCGAGGACTCCCGGGAGGCCATCGCTTGACCGCCGGTGACCAGTGGCCCCGGTCGAGGCCAAGGACGACAGCGATGGCAGGGTTCTTCCTTTCACCTCCGGGTTACGCCGTTTGTTTTCAGAACATACTGGAAAGGTTATTTTGGCTTGTGTACAATGCCAGTTTCTGCTACTCTGATACAAAGCCTGCGCACTCCCAAGGACGGCCCTGTTTTCTGTGTGATTCAAACAGCTGTTCAGATGGAGATCGATGTGCAAGGTGAAGTGTAGCCTCGCTGCATCGGAAGGAAGCCTGACATTTGCTTTCGAAAAGATTCCCCGGGCACGCAGCAATACAAAAGCGATATTCAGTTCCAATCAGACACTCCTGACCTCCACCAGTAGCATTATCTGCATTAATGCCCTCGCCTCTACTGCACTCACTCACTGCAGGTCGCCTTAAGTAACGTAAGGGAGGGTGATGCTTGCTGGCATAATAACAGACCAGTGTGTTCGGCCATATTTTATTCACTTGGTTTGTGGTTTATAAGGAAATAAGTATGCCTGAATATCTGGAATGACCAGAAACCGGATGCCTGTGCTAGAAATGGTGAAACGAAGTACAAGTTTCAAAAGGTTAAACTGATTTTCATTTTATTTGATAACTTACAAAGTTACCAGTTTCCTACAAAAATCTGCCCTTGGAAATGTTAACAATTCATGGAGCACAGTGGGACTGAAACTCCTCTCTCCAGTAGGGAATTTTAAATCTGTTCTGTATTCAAGCTGGTGACTTGGGACTTTTTGGTGTCGGTGTTTTGTTTTGTTTTTTTTTTAAGATAAGATCAGCCGTCATCTTTGTTCCCTCCGTCTTTCATGAAAGCCAACCACTATTTATATTATAAATTACGCTGATCCACACAGCCCTTCGACCAAAACGAAAGGAAGTACCTGTCCGCTCCCGTAAGGAGTTGGGGTTAGGGGCTCGTGGGAGTCAAGCTCGCAAGCTAGGTCTGTCCAGGTCACGTGTCGCCCCCCCCCCCCGCCCCGGCGCAGCCGCTCCCGGGTCCCGCGCGACCTTGGGCAGGTTCTTCGCACCCACCTACCACGGACCCCGCGTGGCACGGGAGAGGGCGGGGCACTCGCAAGTGGGGACCCCAGCCCAGCGCCCTAATCCCGTCCACTGCGGGCGCTCAGACCACATCTGCAGTACCAGTGCCTGGAGTACCCGCGCCAAGGGCGTGTCCCGACGGCTGCAATGCGGGGGAGGGCCCTGGGGGGAGGGGGAACCGAGCGTCCCCAGACTCCTGCACCCGACCGTGGTAACCCAGACCCAACCCACTCTGTAGAGTGAGGTTGGATGACGAAGGACGCCTGCGGCCCAAGTGGTCGGGGACCAGAGGCGTCCCGCCAAGTCCGGAAAACCAAGCATCCCTCCATCTCTCTCCTGCACTGTACCTGCCGGCCGGTCGACAGACGCTGGGGCTGACCCCCTGACTCATTCTACTCCTGGGAAGTGGGGTTGAGGTGGGGCGGGGACAGAAGCCGATGGCTCGACCGGCCCCCGGCCGGAGGCCTCTTGCCAAGGCCAGAGGGTTGAGCATCCCCTCCACCACCGCAAGGGACCTGCCCGCTTGCAGACCGACCACGAGGAGGACCCCAGACCCAATACACTGAGGGGGCTGGGGAGTCGCTACCCTGCTCCGGTTTCGGGCTCTTTACTGACCCCACCGTCCGAGAGGAATACTGGGGGTTCACCTCAGCGCTCCGGCTCCGGCGGCCGCCCCCTACCCTACGCCCCGGTCCCGGCCGCCGCAGTCCCCGCCACAGCCCGCAGGGCGGCGCCCGCCGGCATGCAGCTTCGGCCGGGCCTTACCGAGTCCGAGGACGGAGGAGCGCGGCGGCTGCGGCGGCGGTAGCACGGCAGCGAAGTGAGCGAGCAGCGATCCGGCGCCAGGGGCAGGAGGACAGCGGACGAGGCGGATCGCCTCCGACGCCGGCCGCCGCGGATTGGCTGGGGCACCGGCGGGCGGTGACACTTGACGCCCCGCGGGCCGTGGGCGGGGTCTGGGCCCCGCTGGGCCTCGGAGGGGCGGGGCCTCGGAGGGCGGGCCCTGGGCGGGGCGTCCCCCAGAGCGGGTTAGGTGAGGAAACTCGGGCTCCCAACGTGTTCACCACCTCGACCTCTATTAGCATGGAGCCTAGGACGAGATTCGTCACCCTACGAGCCTCGGCTTCCTCATTTGAAACATGGTCCAACCCATGGGCCATACCCATCAGAGCGCATAGCATGGCACCCAGCTCGTGCTTGCCCATGAGAAGCATTGCCCAGGGTAATCCTCGCAGCACCCCTATAAATAGCTGATCCCAGCCCGGGGGGAGGCGGGGGTTGAGGGGTGAGGATCACTAAGGTGCCCATGATCACACAACTAAGAAGACAGATCCGACACTGGTCCCCTGGTTAACCCCTGGGCCCACGCCCCAAACTGGACCTTATCCTCGGAGGGACTTGATGGGACCCAGAGGCAGTGTGGTTCAGTGGGCCAACACGCTAATGGTAATTCCGATGACCTTTCTGAGACCCCCCTCCTCATCTGACCGGGCTAGAAAATAACCTCCCTGCCAGGCTTTGGTAAGATTTCATAAACTAATTTACAGGCACCTGAAGCATAGGAGATGCCAGGAAAGAAATGGCCCGAGGTGCTGACAGGTGCTGGACCGACAGACAGGTGACCCACTGAGCTCAGGAGAGGGTCCTGGAGTAGAACCCCCTGGGCCATCCCGGGGGGCTAGGCTGAGCACAGCTGCAGGGGCCCACAGGGGGTCTTGGGGAGACCGTGCTTCCCACCCGGTGAGCCACCTGCATCTTGGTTCTCAGTGTCCCCCCAGGCTCCAGCAGGCGGGCTTGCATACAGCAGGTGCTTCATAAATGCACCTGTTTTCGTGAAGAAAGTCTTCACTCTCCAAAAGGTCAATCTCCTTCTGGCTGTGAAAAAAATCTACTCTGTCTTCTCTTTCTGTCTGATTTATCTGGTCTGCACCGCAGAAGGGTTTGGAAGAGAAAATGGGAGTCCTGTCCAATTCCCACCCCACCACGGCCATGGCCACGGCCGCAGCTCACCGTTGGTGCACACTGCCGGACGGTTCCAACCAGGTCATGGGACGTTAGGGGGGTGGCAACACCAGCTGTGAAAGCATTCACAATGAGAAGAAAGTGTAGAGATCCCGGGTTTTATTCACTTTCCAAGAAAGGAGAGGGGCATCAGCACGGAGGGGCAGGGGCTTTGAGCTTTCACTGGATTGTAATTGGATTTAAAAAGGGTGAGGGTGCTGTGGCGAGGCCCCTGGGCGGTGGGGACATCTTAACCGAGGCTGCAGTTTCTTCTGCTGTCATCTTCTGCCTGCGGCTATGGGGAGCGTTAGTTCTGTTCTTGTTTCTAGTAATTCAATTTCCAGCCCCGGGAACAGGCTCAGAAGAGAAAAACGGCCGTCGTGTTTAACAAGGTCCTAGGCCTGCTCGGCAAATAGAGCCCCGACAGCAAAGGGGGCCGGCTGTGTCCTTTCATAAGATACCCTGTGTTTGTAAAATTTTGTTTCCGCTCGGCTTCTGTCGTGGACAGAGCTCCTGTGGAGGCTGCGATGACCTGCGTCTTTCGTAGTATTTACCCAGTGGCATGGACCATGTCGTGCCCCCCCCCCCCCACTGCAGGTATAAATGAAGCCACCCTGGCCTTGGGGCAGGGAGTGCGATGCCAGTTCCTCTGTTTACCTCTGGAAGTGAAGCAGCCCAGTCAATGGGCAAGCACAGGAGAGCATTTGGTGACATTTGGGTGCCACTTGCCCAACTGCCCTCTGGGTGAGCTCACTCCTCCCCACAGGTGGGAGTGCCCTTGTCTCCGGAGCCTGGCGGTGCTGCCTGTCCTGGTCCCCTCTGGTTAATCTTCGCCAACTCTAAAGGTGGGGGCAGGTAGTGCTCCTATTTTAATGTGCACGTCAGAGGCCCTGACAGAGTAGCTCGGTGGGTTAGAGCGTTACCCCAGCCAAGGGTTCGGGTCCCACCCCCAGTCAGGGGCACACAGCAGTCGGCCAGCAAGCACGAGTGGGTGGACTGCAAATCCATGTTTCTCTCTCTCTCCCTCTCTCTCTAAAATCAACAAATAATCAAAGAGAAAACCCTGTGAGTAGGTTGTTTATCAAACCAGCTTTTTAAAAATATTTTGTGTTTCTTTGTAGGTAGAAGTTGGCCCTGCTCCCGCAGATGTCGCCGCCCAAGGTGGCAGGTGACCCCGGGCAGAGCACACCGACTGCGTGCCTCGCTGCACCTGCCCTGGCCGCTCTGGGGTCACCTGCCCGCCTCTCCCAGCACGTGGGCCTTCCTGGCTTGTGCCTCGGACCACGGACCATCACCCTCTTCTCAAATGCCCTTCCTTCCTGTCTCGGGGAACCCAGCTGCCTGTAGGTCCGGGCCCAAGGTCGCTTTCTGCCTCACTCTGAGTTCTGTCACATGCCCCGCTGGGACTGGCTCAGAGTCCGGTTTGCCTCAGGAGTCCTTTGGCAGCCGACCGGGATCCTGCTGCCCTCCCTGAGCACCGCCTCGGTGCCACCTGCAGACATGGTGGGGCAGGAACCTACTTGGGTCACTGCGCCTGGCGCCCACGTCACCTGTGCCCCAGTGGCCCAGCTCTGCGGCGACTCCAGCCACCCCCTGGAAGTGCCCATGCCCTCTCCTGCCCTGTAGCCTGGCTCTGCAGGTCCTGGCTGTGGGTGGCAGGGTGCAGCTGAGAAGCCAGACCCCAGGGAGCCAGGAGCCGTCCCATCCCGAGTTCCCTCCAGACCCCAAAATATTCCCAAGTCAGCCTCAGAAACTAAAGAAGTCTTTCTTATGCTTTTTTTCCCCTAATTCTTCCCTAGTTTGAAATGAACATATTTCATCAGCTTCCTATTATGGCTATAAGAAAATCTTTTTAAAAGTTTTTTAAATGCATATCATGTTTTTATTATCACTAAGACACATCCCCTGTTTTACTCTAAATATGTATCTTTGTATGAAAAATTTTAAACATATAAAAAATGAATGAGACTAGTATAATAAAGTCCCATGTAACAAAAACTCAAACTCAAGTTCAACAGTTGCTAAGCTGGGGCCCAGGTGTTTGTCTGTGTCCCTCCCACACTCCCCCCCAACTAATTTCTTTAAAGCAAACCCAGAAATCCTAGAGTTTTGGTCCACTAGTTCTTGAGTACGAGTCTCTAAAAGACAAGGATTATTTTTAAAAACACGCCCCACAGAAAGTGGAGGAAGGACGCACGGGAGCCCCGCACACGCCCCGGGCCTGCCAAGGGCACAGCCGAGCCTTCTCTCTCTCGTGCCAGCCCGTCTGGCAGGTAGCGCCCTGCGGGTTCCAAAAGTGCGCGAGCCGTTTTGGAGCGCAGCTGCCATTGCCCATAGGAAACAGTTTAGTAATCGCAGAGCTCTGCTCTTCCTTCCCCTCCCCAGAGCTCTGAGCCCTTCTGAACTTGAACCTTGAATCCCTGGAGGTGGTGAGTACAATACTGTCTGTTGCACACAAGGGTGGTAATAATGTTTGCTAATAATATTTGCTCAGCCAGCATCCCTGGGGTTTGGTGAGGACAAAGCAGGGCAATACAGGTGCGAGCTCACCGAACAAAGCCGGCGAAAGGAGCTTGTGGCAACAAAGAAAATGCGTTCTTCGTGGGATGGGCCTGCCCTCTGACCCAGAATCCTCCTCCTGGGTGCACGCCAGAGAGAAATGAGAGCTCGTGTCCACGCAAGACTCCCCAGGGCTGTTTACAGAAGATTCGCTCAAACTGACAAAGCTCCAGAAACCAGTCAGCATCCCTCCACAGCAGAATGGATAAATAAACGGTGGTTTCTGCATCAAGTGTAGCAATAATAAGCAGCAAGACGCATAGAGCATGGACGGATTCTGCCCATTATAGCAAAAGAGAGACAACAAACACACAGCACAGGTACGTGTGTTCGGTCAGGCAAGGGGTGCCCGTGTGCCTGCGGTGACGGGCCCTGACCGAGCGCCCTCGAAGGCGTGCACAGAGCTGCACGCTCGAGGTTACACACGGGCTGCTCTTTGCCACCCATGTGTCAGGCCTTTTTAAAAATGGTTGAGAGAGGAGTGGGGCGGTGACTGTGAGTGGCATGGCGAAGCCATCTGGGTAGCCAGGAAATGAAGAGGAACTGACAAAGCTGAGACACCGGGATCCCCCGGGGAGATGGCAGAGTTAGGAGGAGGGGAGCCGTGGAGGCCAGCTGCCAGCACCCGCCCCTGCAGGGCAGAGGTGGGGAAGGAGGCCGGTGCGCCCCGCCCCTCCCCGGCCTCGCTCCTCCTCCCCTGCTCCTCCTCCCCTCCAGAGCCAGGAGCCCACGTGGTTTCTTCTGCACCTGGAAGCATCCACCACCCTCAGGGGCCAGGGCGGCGGCCGGACGTTGGCCCCCTCAGGAGGCACCCGGTGGCCAGGTCAGTGCCTGGCGTGCACAGGCCCCGGCCTCCCGTCAGGTGGCTGTGCCTCGCTGCCTTGCCTTGGCCTGTTTTCTCACTTAAAAAACATTGAGGATTCAGCCCTGGCTGGTGTGGCTCAGTGGATTGAGCACCGGCCTATGAACTGAAAGGTCACAGGTTCAATTACTGGTGGACGTTTGTGCCTGGGGCCAGGTTCCCAGTCTCGGGCGTATGAGAGGCAACCCATCTGTGTTTCTCTCACGTACTGACGTCTTTCTCCCTCCCTTCCCCTCTAAAAATAAATGGGTACAATATTTTTTAAATGAGGATTTAGCCAGTTTTTGGAGGCCACACACTTTCCATCCTAGAACCCAATTTGTCCACATTAGCTAGGATGATGATTTTTTCTCTGTGAAGCCCGTGGGATTTTAAATTGTTTTATTGATGATTTAAGAGAGAAACATCAGTCCATTGTCCTCTGCATGCATGCATTGACTGGGTGACGCCCATGTATGCCCGACCTGGGAGCAAACCCCCAACTCA